TTGATAGTGTTAACTAGTATTTTCGTGTGTGTTCATACTGAAGATTGTGCCAAACTGTACAGTTGCATGAACATTCAGACTTCCAAAATAAAAAAGTTTTAGCTACTATTGACCCACATACTTTTCTAGGAGTCAAGATTTTCATCACACACACCAGAATGACACTGTAACTGAAGAAAATACAATAAACTGAAATAAAACCCAAAACCAACAACTAGAGCTTTATTTGTTCTTAATAACATTGAGGGTAGGTAATGTTTTTCCTTCCACAAAGTGAGTTACTCTTTTTCTTTAGTACGTCTGTTCCCAGAAGGGCACTGAAACAAATACTCGCATTCAGTACTGTTTCTGTAGACCACTTTTCAGATAGCCACATTTCTGTCAGAAATGCTTGGGATGTCATCTGCAAATATGATGGGAATGATTTTTAAAGAACAGTGTGAAACTAATACATGCATTAGACTTACAGCTCCCATTCACATAATTTGTTGCTATATCCAAACAATGTGTCTCTCACAAAGACCCCGGTGTTTCTTTATAGAGCAGTGATGCATGAGAATTTTTTTAACCAAGCACTTCTTTGTGTTCACTTCCTATGATAGCAGTAGAACAGAGCTGGATAGTATCTATATGGATAACAAAGTCCTGCTGTCAGTCCTTTGGCTTCAGCAGATTGCATCCAAGGTATATTTCCTTCTTTGGAAACAGACTTCAAGATGAGAGTCTCTCTTAGTACACAACAGACAAGTGTTTCAGTTCTATACTGACAGTCACACAGGTAGGCTTCTGAACCTCAGCTGTGAAGTACTGTTCAATGAATGTTTCTATTTCAAGGCAAAGATTAGATTTCAGTACCAGCAAAGTTGGAAATGCATTTGTGTTAGTATGAGTTACTTCATTCTAGCATCAATCAAAAAGCAACTATATTCATACGATGGAGGAATCTCTGATAATACTGTGCAGGGAGGAAAGTATGGTAGAGATCTTTTCCTTCATAAACACACAGTTTCAGCAATCCAAAATTGCACTTAGGTGTGCTTGGTTTTCCTTACTTCAGCATAGCACAGTAGCTGAAAGGTGGTATATCACCACCCTATTGACTGTAGGTGAGATTCCAAATTTTGACATTCAAGCTTTGCTTTGTATATGACAAGATAACTACAGCTCAGAGAAGACGTGATTTTTACTCTGTTCTGCACAACAAATGAGCCAAAGAATGATGAAATACGGATTCTGTTGCCCATAGTTTTAGGGCACTTAGTCAAGGATGTAAAAAATGTGACCAGGCTCCAGTTCTTCACTTTCATAAATAATTATTCCTGCAAAATTGTATAGGCCTTTTGTTGGCACATGAGTAAACAGGGTTCCCTCATTGACTTTCTGAGAAAATGATATTCCAGTCCAAGTACCCAACTGCAGCTGAAATGCAGGAGAGTTAGGAACTTCTGGTCAAGAGGCAGGACTAAAGGCACGATCCTTGTTACTTTACATTAACATTCCTTATTATTTTACATTATCTCATCTGGCCAGTTTCATCCACCTTCCTCTACTTAATCTCACAAGCGTCATCCTTCATGCATTTTACTGTTTGGTACGTAACTCAGTGCTTGCATTGCCTAAAAAGCTGGGATCATAAATGTGATATTAATTCTTCAATCTGGCAAGGTACCTGAAAGAATTGTGTCACAACACAAGGAAAAGTTACAATCTTGAGTTAAATTTGTGATTCTGTCTGTGATTACATTATTACATATATCTTGGTTTAGGCATGTCAATTGCTATTTACAATTGTAGATCTTAAAAGTAGAGGACAGATGCCCCAAATAGTTTTTTGTGTTCTTTGTGCTAAATGCTGTACAAGCCTAGAGTGAAATAGATCTCACTTCAACAAAGCATGTATGCATGCAAGGTAAACCATGAAAAAAGCTTGTCCTGTGTACTTCAGGGTTAAAAAACCCACACGTAGTTCTTTTTTTGCCAGTCATAGTGCTAAGACACTGTTTCATCACAGTCTTTTTAAAAATTACTTTTTAAGTAGGAGTGCAGCTGATATTTCACTGGCTCCTTCTACAGATTTTAGTGGCAAACATTCACACACATTAGACATGTATATGATTCTTCTATTCTGTGATTTCAAGATGAGACTTGAGCTCCAAGGTTTCTTTATTCATTAAATGTATCAGTTCAATGAACACACATACCAAACCTTACTTGCAACACTGTCTCTGTATGTGTTACTCCAAAATTTAAAAGAGGGGAGGGAGGAAGCAAGGTTTTACCAGTAGTTTTATTTTGAAAATTTAAGTGAAGAAAACAGAAGGAGGTGGTGTCAAAATGTACTCACCAGTTCTGCTGTGGTCTAAGAAACTTTCAGTTTTCAAAGGTCGTATTTGGCTGCGGTTTGGGTTTATTCCTACAAGGACTGATGTCCAACTTTCAAAGGCTGATGTTTTTGAAGGCAGGGACACAGGGGAAGCAAAAGTGGGTTTTAGACATCACAACACTTTGGGGACCATTTGGGGACATAACTATCTCTCAATGCTCTGAGGACATTCTGACAGGAGCCGCACCTACCAGGAGCCCTTATGAGCCCCTGCTGTATAAAATAGCTTTAATAATTGTTGAGACCTACTAGGTGGCTGCAAAAGATTGTGAACGCTTGCAGCTGGACAAGTGAGGGAGGCCCTGTGATAATGGATTGCTCAGGGAATGATCAGGAATGAGTTTCCACAATTTCCCTGGCAGTGAATACTATTACAGAGGTGTAATGCAGGGAATTTTTGATAGCCTGAGCCATCTCCTTCCCTTACTGCAGTGACACTGTGGTTCACCCCCTTCTCTTAATTTGATGAGGTAGTAAAAAAGCCTCAAGCCTTTGAATGGCAGGCTGGTCTCCCTCACATGGTCCCTCTGCTTCCCACCTCACCCTTAAGGGATCCGCTATCAAAGAATAAACCAATATGACATGACTAATTCATCACTATGCAATTTCTTTCCTGATATCCTAGGCAGAGTGTTTGGTTTCTTAAATTTCTTTAGCATGGTAGTATTTCTTGCACCTCTTATGTCAGATTGAGTTCTTCATAAACTTTCCATGCTAGGCTTCTGTCAAGGTATCGATCTTCATAATATTACTGGTTCAGAATATCAAACTACTGGTCAAATGTGAAGATGTAAGCTTCTCTAACATCACTAGCTAAGAAGGCCTTGTTGAGTGTTTTAGTGTTGGGAAAAGAACACATTCATCCACCAGCTGCTGGTGGCAGTGTGTGATGTCAGCTCCTTGGTATCTGGAATAATCTGAAAGAAAAACAATTCTGTAGTTAGTATGAAGAACACTACTTCAGTAAAGGCTGCATTGAACCACAACGCTCTGAAATCTTACTGACTCAGCTGATAGCTAGTCTCTGTTCTTGGGTTTATTTCTGCACTTTAGCTACTGACAGGGCAATGTTGAACGCATCAACAATTCTAGCAGTAGTATTCAAAACTGAGCTCAGTCCTCTCCCACTTGCTTGTTACACCTCTGATAACCTGCCTCCTTTTGGGATTTGTTACAGGAAGAAAAGTGCAGAAAATCTCCAAAGCACCTTGCCAATACCTTTGTGACATTTCAAGGACAGATCCTACTAGAAATTGCTGTGAAGAGAAAAAAAAAAAAAAAAATGCAAGGTTAAGGCCAGTTTAAAAAAAATGCCTAACTCTTCTCCAGGTTTTCAAAGGCAGCCTGACATACAAAACTGAAAAGTCACTCTATATTACTTATACAGTTAAAAAAGACCATTGGTGGATTCTTTTACCCCCAGTATTTTTTTTTTTTCTCTCTCATACCTTCTATCTCAGTTAAAGTTCATCTTTGACCTGCATATATCAGGAGCCATCAAGAAGAACAATAGTAGGAATTGCTTTATTCTAATATTAAACCAGGCATTCGTTAATGGTATGAAATCTCTCCATTATAGGGCTTCTGTCCTGGGTTCAGCAGGAGCAGTCATTTTTCTCAGTCTTAATAGGTGCTGTGTTTTTGACTTTCACTCTGGGAACAGCGCTGATAACACCAATGTTTTCAGTTGCTGCTCAATAATATTTACTCTGACCAAGGACTTAGTGAGTCTCATGCTCTGCCAGGGAGGAGGGGAAGCTGGGAGGAAGCAGAGACAGGACACCTGACCCAAACTAACCAAAGAGGTATTCCATACCACATCATGCCCAGTATATAAACTGGGAGCAGTTACCCAGAAGGGCTAGATCAGTGCTCGGGTCAGGCTGGGTATCAGTAGGCGGGTGGTGAGCGGTTGTATTCTCTTCCCTTGTTATTTCCTTATCATTATTATTATTGGTTGTAGCAGTAGTGATTTGAGTTATACCTTAGTTACTGGACTGTTCTTATCTCAACCTGTGGGAGTTACATCCTTTCGATTCTCCTCCCCATCCCTCCCGGAGAGCAGGGGAGAGTGAGCAAGAGGCTGTGTGGTTCTGAGTTACCAGCTGGGTTTAAACTACAACAATTTTCGAGGAGATGCACTCATTTCATTTTTTTGCTACAATGTATTATTTTTTATCAGTAAGTGTTATTCAAAGCCAGCAACAGTTACATGACTGCAAGGACGCTGATCTGAAATAATACCCACAACACACTTGACACAGCCTAACAAAAGCATTGAACTAGTCAGCTGTGCAATCTTCTTGTCCTCTGTTAGTGTCTCTGAAACCTCATGGCTATTCCCACCCCGTAATTTACATGAGCTACTATGTTTTATTTCGTACTGTGAACAGTTCAGAAAAAGATCACCCCTATCGGTACTATATCGTTTAATCAATGCAGCAAAGAATACCTAAGAAATACATACTGTGCCAAAACTAGATTGTTTGTTTCAAAGCGATAGATACTGAGGAAATTTCTCTAAAGTCATTTTACTCTATAGCATTCTTATACCTTAGCCTTTGCTGTGAACACAAAAAACAGTTTAATCTTCTTTTGTTTCTTGCCAATCTCTTACCTGGGAGAGGTGAAGGAAATAATTTTGATAGGTGATTGCTTAGTTCTCAAGAAGCATCTGGGAAGGAGAGGTGAAAAAAGACCACTAACTGAATGAAAACTGTAGTCAATAAAAACTAATGTTGATTTTAAAACAATACACTGTCAGACAAAGGCTTTAGTAAGCAGACTTAAAATGCTCTTACTTAAATCTTCTGTATTCATTCTTCATCTTCTCTTATTCTGATCTTGGTCATCAGTCTTGTGTGATGTACCATTTGCTCACTACAACCATAAGGTTGCTGTGAGTTAATTGTATGATTCTTTCAGTCCTCGTTACAGTCTTTGACACAAGAATGAGTTTTCACAGAAGTGAATGCTAGGATGTTCTGATTCTCATTGAATATTCTCATTAATCCATTCTTAGGAGAAAGATTAATGATAAAGAATAAGCACAGATATTAATTATTTTATTTCTCATGGCAATCTTGGGGATGTAATGAGAATGGAATGATCACCTCTTCTTGGTTCTTAAAGTAAGGGTGTTTTGAAGGATAGAAAAATATTCAAAGTTAATTTATTCTTGTAATTAAACTGTTATAAGACCAGAAGCTTAAAACCCATCACATTAATTCATTCTCATGCCAGTTTTAAGGGCCCAAACCTGTAAGTGCCAATTAGAGTGAACAGAAGCAGAGGATACAGGTCAGTGGAGAGCAGAGCATCACAAATTTGTGTGCTGAAAATAGGCAACAGTATAGTTCTTAGATGGCAACAAGATGTAATAACATCATATATTATCTCTTTTTTATTTCTATTAATTTCCAATGGGTTTTCTGTATTGGTGGCTGTGCATTAGCACAGTTCCTTAATTATCACTATCTTTCCCTTCAGTAGGGGTGGCATACTGAATTAGGCTATAGTTTGATAGAAGTCAGTGAATAGTTAAACTGTACCTCATCAGATAAACATACTGGTTTTTAAAGATAGCTAAATCTGTCAAGATTATTTCTGAGATTATTACAGAGTAAAATCTACAGAGCTTTCTTGATACATCCATCTATGAGAGAATGAATGCTGCAAGAGGGCAAATATCACATATGGGAAAGGCATTAAGGAAATCTAGGCTCCTCAAACTGTTAGTAGAGTACAAGGCCATGAACTGCCAACAGCTTCCTTTACTGGCCTTTTCTTCTAGAAAATTCTTTCAAGAAAGGAGAAGGTAGGAGGACAAATTCTGACTTTCTCTTGTATTCTGCTTTAACCCCAAGCCCCACACTTCTTTCAGCAGGAAACAGATGAGAGCTTCTGACTACTGAGGTCATTGGCAAATCATTGATAATGCTGCCGTTTATACTGGGACAGCAGAAGAGTGTGAAGAATCCAAACAAGGCACATCATTTACTTCCAAACCTATTTTTAAATGAAGTTTTGTGTCAAACCTTTTTTAAGAACATCTTCAATCTTTCTTACAGCTTTCATGAATTTGTTGTGATATTATAGGCATATTTTGATTTAGTGCACAAACAATATGTGGCTAATTTCAAAATAAATCTATTAGAGATAGGAAGCAATGAAATATTGTGAAGTGATACTCAGTGTCGTAATGTGACGATGCACAGGATGAAAGCAATGCATTGCCCAAGTGCTCATCCTGTTCCCAGCCAGTTGCAGCTCAGTCTTTCACTAATCCTACTCACTTTCCACATACAAAACACTCAGACATACCTGTGGTTGAGTCACTCCAGGATCCTTAAACAAGAAGTTATTTCTCTGGAGTTACAAGTGCTAAGCATTCATTGATATGTTTGTGCTGAGCCATCAAACAGATCTAAAAACAAAAAAAGAGAAATTACATAAATATAAAATGACAAACATGTTTCTCTGAAAATGTCTGTGTTAATTTGGCAGTTTTCACTCTCATTGGCATTAATGCAACAGTGTGGCTACAGCATTCTTTACAGCCCTTTGTCTGAATAGTACACTGCCTGTGAAAAAACTAATTTCTAAGATAACACAATAAAAACACAAAAAGCAAAAAAAAAATGTACTTCATAGACTTTAATAAAGTTAAAGAGCAATACCAATGCATAGAATCCTAGAATCGTTAGAGTTGGAAAGGACCTCAAGATCACCTAGTTCCAAACCCCCCTACCGTGGGCAGGGACACCTCACACTAAACCATACCACCCAAGGCCTCGTCCTACCTGGCCTTGAACACCACCAGGGATGAAGCATTCACAACCTCCCTGGGCAACCCATTCCAGTGCCTCACCACCCTCACAGGAAAGAATGCTTCTCCCCAGCATCCCTATAGGCCCCCTTCAGATACCGGAAGGCTGCTATGAGGTCTCCACGCAGCCTTCTCTTCTCCAGGCTGAACAGCCCCAACTTCCTCAGCCTGTCTTCATATGGGAGGTGCTCCAGTCCCCTGATCATCCTCGTGGCCCTTCTCTGGACTTGTTCCAACAGTTCCATGTCCTTTTTATGTTGAGGACACCAGAACTGCACACAATACTCCAAGTGAGGTCTCACAAGAGCAGAGTAGAGGGGCAGGATCACCTCCTTTGACCTGGAGGTCACGCTCCTTTTAATGCAGCCCAGGATATGGTTGGCTTTCTGGGCTGCAAGCGAAAACTGCCGCCTCATGTTCATTTTCTCATCGACCAACACCCCCAAGTCCTTCTCTGCAGGGCTGCTCTGAATCTCTTCTCTGCCCAACCTGTAGTTGTGCCTGGGATTGCTCTGACCCAGGTGTAGGATCTTGCACTTGGCATGGATAAACTTCATGAGGTTGCCATCAGCCCATCTCACAAGTGTGTCAAGGTCCCTCTGGATGGCATTCCTTCCCTCCAGCGTATCAACCGAACCACACAGCTTGGTGTCATCGGCAAAGTTGCTGAGGGCACACTCAATCCCACTGTCCATGTCACCAACAAAGATGTTGAACAAGACCGGTCCCAACAGCAATCCCTGAGGGACACCACTCGTTACTGGTCTCTAGCTGGACATTGAGCCATTGACCACAACTCTTTACGTGCGGCCATCCAGCCAGTTCTTTATCCACCGAGTGTTCCATCCATCAAATTGATGTCTCTCCAATTTAGAGACAAGGATGTCGTGTGGGACAGTGTCGAATGCTTTGCACAAGTCCAGATAGATGACATCAACTGCTCTACCCCTGTCCATCAGTTCTGTAGCCCCATCATAGAAGGCCACCAAATTGGTCAGGCAGGATTTCCCCTTAGTGAAGCCATGCTGGCTGTCACCAAACACCTTGTTGATTTTCATGTACCTTAGTGTGCCTTCCAGCAGAATCTGCTCCAAGATTTTGGCAGGCACAGGGGTGAGACTGACTGGTCTGTAATTCCCCAGGTCACATTTTCCCCTTCTTGTAAATGGGGGTTATATTTCCCTTTTCCCAGTCTTTGGGAACTTCACCTGACTGCCATGATTTCTCAAATATGATGGCCAGCGGCTTCACAACTTCATTTGCCAGCTCCTTCAGGACCCGCGGATGGATCTCAGTAACAGATACTCAGGAAAGCCATCCACAGAGTTCAAAACTAACCTTGTCTCTCTAATCCAGGTACTTTTTGGCTGGTTTTTTTGTTGGTTTTGGGGGGATTTTTTAAGTGTTAGTCATCCAGAAGGGTATCTGTTGGAGAGGAACCTACCTACTTCATGCAGGTTCTCTAAAGACTCCCTGCAAGAAGGGAAAATCGTATGCATATATGAAAACTCTGAAGGACACTGAACCAACAAAAGGGATTATAAAGACCTTGCACGTTACAGTACTTGTTTCTTAACTAGTTTTAAAGGTTCTTAGCCTAGAGAATCTCCTGTGCAAGAACTGAGGTAAATAATGCAGGTTCACATTTTGTTTGAAATATTTCAAAACTCTTTTGACTTACGTTTCTCATTCACAACACCCAGTTGGGCACCAGGAATAAGCAAAAAGTGCACCAGCAGAAAGCAATGGAAATATCTGTGGTCTATCTGCTTATGTTGTTTCTATTGCAAAGTGAGAGATAGGGTAGTAATCAGGAGATGCTGAAATGTAGCACAGAATCCTCTGGATAATGTTTCACCCAACTACAGAAATTAGCCACAGTTGCCCTTGCAGCTGGAGATCTGTAAATGAAGAGTGCTATAGTCTGAGCTAGATTTCATTAGATTTCATAAAGGAATCTGAATAGGAATCAAGACAGATGCATCCAGCTCTTCAGTAGGTCACCTGGGCTCTCATCTCATTTAGCTAAACTCATCTTGACCAGTAAAATAAAATAAATTTGTGTTTAAATGTTGGTTTGTGCAGTGTAAATCTAACTCTGATTTCAGGGAGCTTTGCACAATGAAGGTGAGGATAATAAATATTTTTTTGTTGCCCTGGCCATTCAGAATGTAAATTCTAGGAGGCTAGGATATTTTTTTCTTTCTAATTTTATTTTGGCTTTGCTTGGTTTGTGCAGTGTAAATCTAACTTTGATTTCAGGGAGCTTTGCACAATGAAGGTGAGGATAATAAACATTTTTTTGTTGCCCTGGCCATTCAGAATGTAAATTCTAGGAGGCTAGGATATTTTTTTTTCTTTCTTATTTTATTTTGGCTTTGTTCACGTTCACTTGCTGGGATTTTCACAAATATTCTATCATGATAGTTGAGGAACAGGAATGTTCACCTACTCATTGAATTTGAAGTTTGATCCAACTAACACTAAAAGTAATGATAAGTGTTCAAGGAACCCTTACATTTCTATGCAATATTGCATTCACAGAACTTCAAATTTAGCAGCATCTTATTCACATGAAAACATAATTCTAAATTTTTTTTGCGTCTGGTTAGGAAACAGAATTGTAATGTCTGACCCATTTCCCCATTCAAAAAAAAGCATAAATGTTGATTTGTACAGGCTCAATATTTGCAGTGAATAAATAACAGACAAAAAAATTATTTTTCAAATAATTTCTAATTATGAAGAAAATCATACTTTGCAGCCTGGTGGAGACACAGATTAAAGTATTGTTCATAGTCCTTTCTCTCAACTTCACGTCCGTGTCACAAATTTCTTGAAACAGTGTATTATGTGAAACAAATTTACCTGTGGTGTTACATCATTGACTGCCATTTGAATTGCCTTCCATGTCACTAGAGAAAAGGTGAATGTACTCTTATGCCTTTTCATATAGGCATTACATAGAGTGCTTTCCCACAGTACTATACCACTGATGAGGGGAAGCCAAAAGAAGTGAAAATGTGCCTTTGGGGAGCTGGCAGAGAATTCACTGGGACAGGAAAAATGTAAAGGGTTTTGCAAGAGCAGAAGCTAAAGACTATGAGAAACTTTTGTTGTTGTTGTTGTTTATAAGCACTGTTTAAAATAAAAATTTCAGACTAGGAATTAAAATTTAAACAATGCAAGTGCCTCAGAGAACCAGGCTCTAAAGCAGTCCCATAATGGGACTCCAGCACAGCTTTTAGTTTTTAATGTGAAGAAGGGGAAAGATTTTTCATTAAAATTTAAAAATTATGAGAATAAAAATCCTTTTTGTTTTTGTAGGCAGTGTTACTAAGAATGATTGTGTTCACTTAATGGGTGAATTTCCTTTTCTGTAAAAGCGGTTAGATTCAAATTTAAGCTTATCTCAGTTGTCCTGTAGTCTACCTTTTTTCAGTCAGTTATGCAGAATGTTATGTCTGAAGTATCTCCTCTTTAACAATTATATCTCAACCATTAGTATGTGTGTAAGTGCTTAAGGACTCACTGCTTTTAGAACATGAAATAAGGCATATGAGACAACTGTATTAAATAAATGTGATCTGGAAGATCAACACCTGGTGCTTTTTGCATTATTTGCTGTGAGAAGTACAAGCACACCTTAGCGTTATACTGCACACTTCACGCCAGACAATTACCCAATTCAGTGCAAACCTTGAGAAAACATGAAACTATCATCTTTCTGTTCTACTATACAAACAAGAGTTTTCTATACTGCCAAAGGCAGTGCAAAGAAAAGAATACATTACCCATTCTTTAACCTCCTTCTTTTGGGTCTCCCTCAAGTAAGCTGGTCACTGTAATATGTAGAAACATAGAGAATATAAACAGGAGACACTGCAGTTGGGGAAAAATGTACATTTCTAAAGGACAAAGCAAATCCAGCCTGTAGGAGGAAACCTCGGAACTCGAGGCCCTAAACTTCCAGATCAAGCCTGTTAATACAGTAGTGTACCTCTTAAACTGAACCTTTAGGCTCTGTTACTACTTCTATGTCAGTAATGAAAAATAAATGAAAATAAATACACAAGCAATGCTCCTTGATACCCCCAAGGTTTAATATAAGCTGATGAACATCAGTATTTCCAACAACAAAATTATGCCTTTCTACTCATTACTAGTGGACCATGCTCTCACAATATCGCTACTTATTGTGATAATTAAAGTTACTTGGAAGTTGAATCTGCAAGTGAATGTACCGTGGTGTACACAGTACATAGTTCCCATAAATTTAATACACAGGAATTTATTTCAGAAGCTACAGCTTTCAGTAGTTCATCAGTTTTGTTTTGCATGAATGTAATTTACTTTTCAGCCACCAAAGGCTTACAGTACAGGTCTTGTACTGAAACAAAACTAGTACTGTAACGGCACTCACATCTTGTTCCTGAAGTGTGTGGGGGGAAATCCTCATATTTATTCCAAAGTTTTCCAAGCAGTTAAACTCAAATGCATATGCATATCGCTGCACATTTTTAGAGCAGTGTTAGCATTCTGGTTGCACAAGGCTAGTAAAATCACAATTTCAATAATGC